GAAATGCTTTGATGCCTTGCCGGGAAACAAGAGTAGGAGAGTGGGGAGGGATCGTGCCCTCGCATTTCGCTTGTGGCCTTCCAGAAGCATCTGGCTGCCCATTGCAGAAAACAGGATGCTGAGCTAGACAGGGCTTAGGTCTGGTCCTGCGGGGCTCTTGTGCTCTGTCATTCTTTGCACCTGATCACCTCTGTTTTTATTTGCCTTTAAAAACAAAGCAAAACATGCCAGGCAACAAGAAACGAAGACAGTGGCAATGACACTACTATGAATTGCCTTAGGCCAGGGCACAACTCAAAATACGGCATCTCCTCCTTCAAGACCTGCATTCCTATTCTGCCTCAATTGTGTTGTTATAGAGAAGTTGTGAGGCCTCCCCTGCCAAGTCATTTCCATAGGCACCTCCTGCCATTGCTTCAGAATCCAATTTTGCTTCAGGATCCAATTATGCTACTGCCCTGATAAGCTGCAGGGCTGGCTTACAGGAAACGGGGAAAAAGAATCAGAAAATTGAAGCAATTTCAAGTCTCACTGGAATCACAACTGGGTCCATCGCTGGATTAATTGGACAGAGTGTTCTGGTTCCCACTGGTCAGCCCTGTGGCGTACCAAAGAATCAGCAGGCATGGCAGGCATGCTAAGTGGGCCAGCTCAGCTATTCACACACCTTAATCTACTTCCCACCATTGGCTAGTTGGTGTGAAGTGCTTTCTCTAATGTTGGTTTAGAAACTGGGCACCTTTTACCATTACCTCCATCCAGACTTACATGCCAGACTTTTCACATTTGTCTTTCAAGACTTTATCACAAAAATGTATGGATAGTGGTGACCAATGGAGCACCTTCAGGTTTCCATATTCGCTTTTCCCATCACTGCTACAAGACGACCCCTGCCAGTTCCCTATAAGCTGGGGCATACAATTACTGGCTGAAGCCAACTGCCAAGTATAAACGGGTTGGAGGCAAAAGAGAGGCTAATTAATAAGATGGTTCAAACCTCCCAAACCCTTTACATGTGCCCCAAGTGGGAGTTCCATAAGAAGAATCCTGCTGAGTCAGATTAGAAGTCCGCCTAGTCCAGCATCCTTTTTCTATAGTGGCCTCCAAGCCAAGATTCTGCCTCCTGAACTGATAGTGCTAACACTAGGAAATGTGCACACACACACACAGGTCCCACTATCCAAACACAGTACGTTAGGTGGGTGTCCACATAACCAGTTGGCGATTTTCATTTATTCCAATGGGGAAATTTCTAATGTGTTCCCGACCACAGAATTTTGACCACTAATCTATGGGGGGGGGGACTGTAAAAACCCGCCAAAACATTACAAAAGGCAAACAAGGAAGGAAACAAAATGCTTTCTTATTTATCCAATCTCTCCCCCTCCCCTCCCTCATGGTTTCTGTTGAAACAGCTGTCGCAGACCAGCAAAACACACACAAAATTAAAGCTTGCTTAAGGCTGCTTATTTGCTTACAGTACTACACATAGGTCCTGCTATTGGGATATCTGAATCTGCAGTGTGTATAGTGCGGTTTGGGTACTAATTCCTTATATTCAGATAATTCTGTATAATGAGCATTTGGAAAGTGGGACCTGCATGTACTTCAAATAATCCTCCTATGGAAATTCCAGTGAAACTAGAAAATAATAAATAAATGAGAACAGTTATGTCAAAAAACAAGCAACAGAGAACGGGGTGGGGGTGGGGAGCTGGCAAGGACAGCTTTAGTGTGCTGTTACCTTGACACATTTGACATTGATTCCTGGGCAAACAAATTTCTTCCAGAGCAGAATGGCTTTGCTCTCTCCACAGGTGATGGGGTAGGCAATCTCAATTTCTTCATTTGTTTCGATGGTGCTGGGGTCTGTTGGTAGAAGCAAGGGAAAATAAGAGACCATTCCTCTGGAAAGCACATGCCATTTATATAAATATATGCTGCTGCCTTGTATCAAGTCAGACTACTGCTTCATCAGTGAGCAGCAACGACACTCCAAGATCTCAAGCAGACATTTCCCCCGGCTTGCTTGCCAGATATCCTTTTACCTGGAGATGTACAGATTGAACCCGAGACCTTCTGCACACAAAGTACGTGCTCTACCACTGAGCTACAGCCCCTTCCTTAAAGGGAGAGGCAAGTGTTTGGCTCACTTAACCAAATGCACCAAGCTATGGTCACACAAACCGGAGTGTGCTGCACTCAAAGAAAACATTGAGCTATGGTTTGATGCTAACTAGAAGTAAAGGCTACTCTTCTCACCTTACATGCAAAGGGGAAAGGGATGGCATGATCATGGATAACCATGACATATCATTACATCTGAATGGAGTCTCTGCCTACATTAACCATCATGGCTTCTATAAGACCTTGCTTGAACTGGTTTTGGACAACATAGCACTCTTATTACTACTCTTGGGGCCCTACCTTCATATCCACCCAACCATGGGAGTAGGAGTACCTTGGTACACAAAAGCCGCAAATTATGCTCCATGACAACTCTGTTGAAATGGTGTCAATGCATCATATCACCGCAGAGGAAACTTACCAATGCCTTCTTCAAGCTTGTGTATGGTGTGCGTTTCCACGGCCACTACAGCCGTACTGGTCTCAGAGCTCTCTTGATAAACCCTGCTGTGAAAGTACCCACTGGTAAGCGCATTATGTAAAGCACAGAAATGATTTTAGAGCTTTGCATAGCTTGAAACCAGAGAATCTGAAGGAAAACTTGCCTCCATAATCAGCCTGCTCAAATGCTGAGATCACCACCCGAGGGCTTTCTCGGAGAGTCAAGTAAAATGGAATTAGTTTATGAACTAACTTGCTCTTCCCAACCTCAGCCCCTAAATCATAGACTGGGGGGGGGGGGGAGACGGGGACCTGCAAATACATGTCCTCTATCCAGCTGTGAAATGAAAGCTCAAAATTGCATCCTTACAACATACTGGTATTGCCCTCGCATTTTCAGAACTATTTTGGAGGCATGAGATCTAGAAAATTTAGTTGAAATTCTCTCTTGCACATAACTGCCTTCCTTTCTGTCTACCCTGTGGACTTACATCTCAACAATTCTAAATGCTTCGCCCAAGACTGAATTTTACACAGAATCACAGAAACACGCCTAGCTGATGACTTGCCAACTTACCCTTGTGGCACTGGCTGCAGTTGTAATATCACCTGAGTTTTGGTATCTTCTGGATTTCCCCCTTCATTTCCTTCAGTTGGCACAACGACAACATCCCCTACAGGGATGCTTACTTCAGCATTTGCCATTTGCCCACATGAAGTCCAAGAGAATGGAAGACAAGTGTGCTGTAGCAAGAAATAAGAAGGTGACTTTGGGGTTTTTTGCAAGGACAAACAAGTTATCATCTCTGGCCAAATAATGAAAGAGATTTTTTTCTAGCACAACCATAACATGTCACAAGTGACCACATGCACTACCACCACTACTAGCAACAGCTCATAAAAATCACATTTGAGTTGCTGTTAATCTTTAGGTCACTGAAGTTCTGGGAAGGGAAAAGTGCCAAGGCCTTACTGGCTGCACTGGCTTGCCCAAAGTGTTTTTCTTTTTCTTTTATATATATTTTCTAATACAAGTACATCTAAAAACTGCACAGAGCATTCATCACCTTATTCAGAGACATGCCCCTTTCTCTCAAACTGGTGCAATATGGTCAGATGCAAAAGACAGGGCGCCTGCACTTTTGCCAGCTGTGTAGAATGAATTTCAGCAGGTATATCTTGCAAGACAACTATAAAAGATGCAGGAGTCCTATCCTCTTCTGGAAGGACCAAATTTTTATCTTGCTGCAGAACTGGCAAATTTATTCAACCAGTTCATTGATTAAGGACTGCAATCCTACATACAATTTTTTGGAGTAAAGTCCTTTAAACTCAACATGACTCACTTCTGAGTACACACGCATAGGATTTCTCTATCAGATTTATTTAATTAAGCAACAGTCCTAGCAAGCTGTGAGCCATACCACGTGCCGTAAAGGCAGAAATTAACACTCCTACGATTCCTCCCACAGAGGTCTTCAAAATTATATTATGGGGCAACTAGAGCATAGGGAACACAGACACTCCATTGAGCGGTTCAAGATTCAAGAGATTATATGCCTGTGCTTTCTCTCTGTCCCCTCTGAATCACATGAAAGGGTTCAGCTGAAGCGAACATCAGTGTCCAAAACTGAAGCCCCAAAATGTTTTGATTTTTGTGCACATATGTGATTTTTATTTGGTTTTAAGTTGCATTACTTGTGTTGTGCTGTAACCTGCCCTGGAACCTTAAATTGAAAAGTGAGCAATAAATATTAAAACAATAATGTTAATAATGCTGCAGCATTGGTCTTCAACTAGTGGGTCAGGACCACTACCAGTGGGTCACAGGCTGCACAGCAACTCTGCTATGGTACAGCTAAATAGTCAAAATAAAGAAATGCTTGCTCCCTAAAATACATGTTTGGCTGAAAGGTAGGTAGGTACCAGGTTTGAAATGTTAAAAGGCTACTGCTATAGTGATCATGAGTCAGGCTAGGGAAGACAGGAGATGCAGGCTGTCTGGGCAGGAACCCACCACCACCATGCCATGTTTCTAAAAACTATGCTCCATTAACTTCATTTTCAATAAATAGCATACCCTCCATCCATTTAAAAGCCAACATGGCTCCCCCCCAATGGTTCATATTACAAAAATGCAGTTGTCTGACAATATTAACATTACAATGCAAAATGTACTTCAGCGCCTATCATGTGTGAAATGGCAGGCTTTGTTCAACATGTTGCCTTAGTTTTCATGCACTTTAGAGGAAGAAATCAGTGGGACTTATTTCTGAGTTGACACTTATACGATTGCCCCACACAGTTCTAAAGACCCTGAAGAAGACAACACTAGGAGCATTATTTTAAGAAGGCATCAACAAAACGCAAACACAGTATTTTTTAGAGACCGGTAACAAAAAATAGGGACTGTCCCTGATAGCTATAAAGAGTTGTGTAGCTTGGTTTATTATCACAGGCAGAGTACATACCATATACACTGATAGCACATTCAAAGCACATTTCCCCCATCAAATAATTATGGCCACTGTAGTTTAATCCTCGAAGGAACAAATTCCCTGCAACCCTTAACAAACTACAGTGCCCAAAATTCTTTGAGGCAGAAAATGGGTTTTGAATGTGCTTTAAAAGTACAGTGTATATATATTCTTAAAAAGCTGTCCATCTAGCTCAACAGTGTTTGCTCTGACTGGCAGTGGTTATTCAGGGTCCCAGCTAGAGGGTCCTTCCCCACCCCACCTCACCAGCTACCAGCTATTTTCAACCAAGTGACAGGGCCCCAAACCCGGGACCTTCTACTTTCAAAGTTCTAGCACTGAGCTATGGTTCCTCCCTATTAAGAAATTTTACTATGTGGCTCTTATTGAAAGAAGAGTATCTGTTCCATTATTCATTTGGCTTGGTAAGACACAGAAAGCAAAATTTCTTTTTTTTTGCTTTTTTTGCGTTATGATCATAGGAATAGCCATCAGGGGTCTGACAAACTGTCCTTTTGGTCGGTTATCTTATTTCTACGTCAGATACCTCTGGGAAGTCCACAAACAGGATATGAGCCAGCAGGCATCTACTGTTGGGCTTCCCTATTTTAACTTGGAGACATAGTACCATTGAGCCGAAAGTTGCATATAGCCATCATGCCTCATAGCTGTTGATAACCCATCCTCAATGAATTTTAAAGTGATCTGAGCTAGTGATGGTCATCCCATCTTGTAGAAATGAAGTCCACAAATTAGGCCCTTTTGTCTGTTAGATACAGGGATGAAGGAGTAGCTCTGGAAGTTAATTGTTGACAACCAAGTTCAGTAAACAAATTATTAAAGGTACTATGCATATTTACTGAAAAGAAAAGCCCACTGATTTGAAGTGATCACAATACTTGCAGCCTTCCTAGACTCAGAAGTCCTACTGAATAGTGTTTACATCCAGGTAAGTATACAACAGACCACAGCTACAGTTTCGGGTTGATTAGAATTAATAATGATAAGTAGGGTCATAGGCATTGACTATATTATGTTTGACAATTCAGAATGCCTAGCTGCTTATTATTATGGGTAAAGGGTGTGCTTTCAATGTTGAGATAGTCCATGAAATCATATTTCTGCCTTTATCCTTCCCATCTCCTTCAAGCAGTTAACAGGTAATGTTTGCTCTTTCACAATCCTCTCTTCTTCAGGTGAAAAAACCCCTGCTTTCTTCCACCACCAATTTTCCATAATCATATAGCCCAGAAACTGAAGCCATAATGAAATGATGAGACAAACACTCTGGGTACCGGGAAACAGACTTTTAAAGGATTGGGATTCCAGCTGGCATATATTTTTGAGATAAACTGCACATTCACCAGAACTGCAGTCTACATCGGGGTCATCAGAGGCATAATTTTGTACCCATTGCCATCGCTACGTCATTGACATAAAAAATTTTTTTTGCACATTTTATGGTTTTAATTGATATCTAATCCAGGAATCACAACCACCCTTTAATCATTATTTATCTTTTACAAATGAAAGCCATTTCTTGCCTACACACCCACCCCACAGATCTTATTACATCAAAACTATTTAAGGAATAGGACCTAAAGCAAGGGTATACTTGTCCAACGATGCTGTTTGAACCCATAATTTCCTCTTGAACACCAACTACCCAAGCACCATGTTTTGAAGTTAAGTTAGGGGCCGCCACCACATTCTGTGGGAGCAAGTTTCATATATTGTTTATGCATTTGCAGAGGTATTTCCATTATGTACTTGGAAGGACAGTTGTTTTATGCTGCTCCTTGCTATAACTGAAATAAATAAATAAATAAATAAATAAATAATAAACCCAGTGCTAGAAGGCTTTTCCAGAACTTTATTCTATTAACTTGGAGGGGCTTTATAATGTTTTTACTTAAATGCTTAATTCCATCCATGTCTGGCATTCCTCACCTTTTTAGAGGGTTTCAGTTTCTTGAGGGACACATTATTTCTTTATTAAGAGCCTCAGGACATGAAGCTTCTCTCTCAAAACAAACAAACAAACAAACAAACAAACGTGCAGCTATATCAAGAATACAGTATCTTGACTCTGCTAAAAGGCACTGCTGTCCAGTTCAGGAAAGCAATTTTTAAAATTTTATTTTTTAAGAAAAAGGTGGCAATTTCAGCAGCTGAAGTAATCCTTTTCCCACCATTGGTCACTTCGCCTCTGACCAGAGCATCTCAGCTCAGTATTATCGTCGTCGTCGTCATTATTATTACTACTATTTTAAAAACCCCTGCCCCAAAAGTGCCTGAGGGAAACCCTAGAGCGCGGCTTCCGCTCCGCGCCCATTTTCCCTGCCCTCGAAGCCCCCTCACAGGCCCTCAAGATGGGGAAAGAAAGTGGGCGGGGATCCCCGGAGGAGAGGTGTGGCTTCTCCGCGGCCACGCCCACTACCACCACCTCCCTCTCGCTCCAGGCCAGCGGACGACGCGCCAGCAGCCTCCTCCTCCTTCCCCCCTCCCTCCCTCTCTCCCTCCTTCCCCCCTCCCCTCCTCCCGCAGTGGCGCGGCGACGTCCGCTCTCCCGGCGGCGGCACGTACGGCGGCGGCGGCCGTGCGCAACTCTAGGCGCAGCCCCCCTCCCTCGTCCCTACGCACTCTGCGTCCCGTCCTGGTCCCTCCCGGCTCCCGTAGCGCGGCGGTGGCGGCAGCAACGTCGCCCTCTGCTCCCTCCCCCCCTTACCGTCTCCGAGCGGCCGAGTCCGGGGCTGTTAAGCAGGGGGGGGGGAGGGTGAGTAGAAGGAAGGAGCGAGCATGCGCAGGCGTCTCCACGACTCGGCCGCCAGCACTTCCGGCTGCCTCCTGCCTTAAAGGGGCCGCGAGCAATTAGTGCTTTTGCTCCCCACGGCCGTAATGTGGGGGAGCTCGGATTTAACTTTGTTGGGGAGGTGGGCGGAGGCGGGTGGGGCTCGGCTTGTAACCCTTGGGGAAATTGGTCGGTGCGAGGCGGCGGGTGGTCGGGAGCCGGTAGTCGCTTCTCAGCCGCAACGGGGCCGCCAGAATAGTACTGTATCGTTGCTTTTGCAATTATTCATTATTCTTCGTCCAAAGCAGCGGGTAAAAAGTAACACGCAAAACTCCTTACACTTCACTGCATGCATGTATTTCTTACCTCGCTAAGGCCGCAGTCAGATGCAGGGAGTATCTTGGGAGTAAGAGCCCCTTGAACCCAACGGGCTCTTACTCCCCGATAAACATGCATAGGGCGTAGCTGCCCCCCCTCCCATCCACAAAAATTATTGAAAGTACAGTACTAAATTAACTGAGGTTCTGCCCCTCCCCAGCAGAAGCCTGCCCCCCTGTGATGTTCCCTTTTTTTGCAACTCACTTCTACTCAAGAGTAGAAATTAATGAACTGAAATTAATGAACCCAAATTAGTCATGCCCATCCTTTCAAAAAGCTCAACAACTTCAGGAATCTGAAGAAGTGTGCATGCACACGAAAGCTCATACTAATAACAAACTTAAGGTAAAGGTAAAAGCACCCCTGACCATTAGGTCCAGTCGTGGCCAACTCTGGGGTTGCAGCGCTCATCTCGCTTTATTGGCCGAGGGAGCCGGCGTACAGCTCCATGACTAAGCCGCTTCTGGCAAACCAGAGCAGCGCACGGAAACGCTGTTTACCTTTCCACTGGAGCGGTACCTATTTATCTACAGTGGTGCCCCGCAAGACGAATGCCTCGCAAGACGAAAAACCCGCTAGACGAAAAGGTTTTCCGTTTTTGAGTTGCTTCGCAAGACAATTTTCCCTATGGGCTTGCTTCGCAAGACGAAAACGTCTTGCAAGTCTTGCAATTTTTTTTCACTCCCCCCCCTTTTTCTAAGCCGCTAATAGCCTTTTAGCCGCTAAGCCGCTAATAGGGTTGCTTCGCAAGACGAAAAAACCGCTAGACGAAGAGACTCGCGGAACAGATTAATTTCGTCTTGCGAGGCACCACTGTACTTGCACTTTGACGTGCTTTCGAACTGCTAGGTTGGCAGGAAATAACAAACTTAGTTGGTCTCTAAGGTGCTACTGGAAGGATTTTTTAATTTTGTTTTGACTACGGCAGACCAACACCTACCTGTAACTAGAACTTTAGGAAGTAGACCTTGCAGAGCGTTTAGGGTTGCAGCTGCTTTTCAGCAATGGGAAGGATGATTATTTTCATTTTCATTTTTTTATTATACTTGTATACTGCCCTTCATCTGAAGATCACAGGGTGATTCACAGCATAAAAATGCAAAATGAGAACACAAAATACATAAATAAGAACAAGAACAAACCAATAAACCCCTCCTCCAGGAAGACATTTAAAAAGGCATAGAATGCTACCCAACATTAGTCAAGAGTTGGCCCATTGAAATGGATGGGCATGACTAATTTGGATTCATTAATTTCAGTGGGTTCTGCTCTTGAGTAGAAGTGAGTTGCAAAAAAGCAACTGGATAATAGAACTCCAAGCAAATCAATAGATGCAAAAGAGCGAGTGAAGTCAAGGTAACTAAATAAATACTCGTATTTCTGTAACATAGGTTACAGAAGGATAAGTCTAGGAATATACGAGGGGCTTTTGGGGGGGTCTAGATGATACCCATGGGTCCCTTTGAAACCTGTGATCCTGTATATGTTGGGTAGGATTTATAAGAGGAAACCAGCCAAACCAGTTCCTTTGCTCAGGAGAGCAATACCTCAAGGACCACCTTTTCCCAAACAAACCCTGTGATAATCATCTGAGGCCCTTCATGTCCTTCCTCCATGAGACATCCAGAAGGTGGCAATGTGAGAATGGACCTTTTCTGCAGTGGCTCCCCATTTGTGGAGTGCTCTCTGCAGCGCCTTCATTACATATCTTTAGGTGCCAGGCGAAAACGTTTCTCGATAATCAGGTCTTTGGCTAATTAACATTCTATGGCCTTTTAAAAATATTTCTAGGATGGGGTTGTTTTTGTTTTATGTATTTTATGTTCTTGTTTTGCATTTTTCTGTTGTGAGCTGACCTATGATCTTCAGGCTGTATACAAATATAGTAAATAAACAAATAAGCACATGAACCACTGGAGTCTCTGGCTCAGAGACTGGGATTGTGCACAACAATCCAATAATAACGGAACAATTGTATGAGACTTCTTGACTCTGAGGTGCAGACATGGATGTGATACTATATACAGCGTCGGCATTTCGGTGTTGTGAAGGCACAGAAGATTGATAATTATTGTATCTTCCATAGGCCATAGATGTATTCTTTATAAAGTCTGTAAATCTTTTCATTTAATTACATACAACCCAGTATATCTCAAAGCACCATTCAGTTAAATACTATAGTTTCAGCCAATGCAGTGTTCCAAAGCAACTTCTTCCGCTTTGAGATCTTTAGGGCCAGTTCTAATATTTAGACCAGGGGTGGGGAAACTGGCCCTCCTGATGTTGGACTCCTCGTTCCCATCAGCCCCAGCCAGTATGGCTAATGGGAAGGGATGGTGGGAGTCATAGTCCAACAACATCTGGAGAGACCACAGATTTATCATGTCTGCCTTAGACACAAACTCAAAACTTCTGTTTCACCAAGCCTTAGGTTTCTTTTAGCATCTACTGTTTGCTATGCTGGGCTGTTTAAGCAGGTTTTTTTATTTTTGTTTTATCCTGCCTTTGATAATTTGTTTTATGATTACTGCTATTATTCATGTTTTTTAAAAGTGCGGCAAGAATAATAAATCACATAGCCTCTTTTCTTTCGAATCAAAGGGAATGGCGCCTTTAAGATGTTGGTCAGGATGGCAAAGACACCAGAACGATCCTGTATCAATCTTGCTTTTTACCCATAACCAAATGTAATGGAGAGATTAATGGATTAATCAACATGCAATTTGACAGCTTTTGTTTTGCTTTGTGAGACCCACCTCTTTTGCTGAATCTATACTGTTCTGTTCTGGCTGGAAGGGCTTAACCTGTTTTGTAGAGTTGTAACTGTGCATTTGTTTTCATAACTATATATTACATGGTAACCTGCCCTGGGTGTTTATGGTGAAGGGCAGGTAAGAAATCATATTTTTAAAAACACCCATTTGCAAGGCTAAACTGGTGGTTGTGAAACTCTTCTCCCCACTGACCACTCAAAAGTTGCTGAGGGTCTTGGCAGACCACACAGTGATTTTTTCTGTCTGTTGCGGCAATTGCAGTGCACTGTGGTAGCTGCTGTATGATTTTTAATTACATTTTTGCAGACGCACCGTAAACTAGCTTAATGAAGCTTGTCCATGGACCACGGTTTGGGAATTAACACCAGGGGAGGCTGGTCCATTAGTGTGAATGCGCCCTGACCCACCAACCTCAGTCTGCCCTTAGCCAGCCCACACCTGTCTCCCTTCCTACTTGCAGCAAGTCCAGGGGTTTGTATTAGCTGTCAGCTTCCTCCCTCTCAGTCTCAGTGTTGCCCTTGTAGATTTCAGCAAGGAGGGAGGAGAACAGAACCAGAATTAGTTGGCTCTGCCTGCCATTGGTTCTGGGTCTGGTTAGTGGTGGCACCGCCTATTGTTGGTCTCCACACCTTCCACCCTACCATTCCCATGAGTACTAGCCACTACTGGCTAATGGTGAGAGGTCAATTTGGCCCTCCCTTTCAGACACTGAAAGTGCATGTGAGGGATCACACTGTGTAGCCCCAACACATCAGCTATACCTCCCCTGGTTGTATGTTTGGGGATCATATGAAGGGGAATCTACACGGGGGGGGGGGCGGGATCCTGGGCCACTCACGATCCCACCTCACATAAAGGACGTCTACTCCTCAATATGCAATTAAATGCTGCTCAAGTAAATGTTCAATATGCAAGCTAGCCTTTGCCCTGTAACCCATTATTTCTTTGCAAGGTGGCCCACAAATTGTTGCTACTCAGCACAGGCAAAGCAAGTTATTTCGTTCTAAGGGACTTTTAGCAGGACAAATGTCATGACCACTTGATGGCGCCAAATGCCACCTGGCGTGCTGGGTGTCGGGACGGACATCTGTTTACTGAAAAAGAGTGAATGCCAAGTTTTGAAAGTAGGCACTGCCAAGTATTAGACATTAAATAAAAGCAATTTCAGGAAGCAGCTCCCAGTTTTACAGTGAGAGACGGAGAAGTCCAGATATTTTATTTTCCATTCTGTTTGCAACCCTTTCTGTTGCTTTGGTTCCAGGAGAGGCAGAAGGATGCTAAAATCAGACAATGGCTGTACATACGCTAACCCAGTTATAGCATTGAAATGCAGTTTTTCTTAATCCAAAATAGTTTGTGCTTGTCCTCAGCATGCTAGCTCCAAGATAGCTCAATTGGTGGAGCACGTGATTCTTAGTCTCAGGGTCATGAGTTCAAGCCTCACATTGCGCAAAAAGATTCCTGCATTGCAGGGGATTGGACTGGATCAATCTGCAAGGAGCTTTTATTTTCAGAGTGAAACCAGTTTCTCAAGAAGCCCTATTCAGGGGCGGAAAAATATTCACCAGCTGATATGCACCTGTCCTGCCCCCCCTTCATTATTTTTTTCTATCCCAGCACGACATCTGCAGGTTTCTGCCCTGGCTACCCCTGTTTTAAGGAAGCGGCCATCCCCATATACTCAAAAGCGGGACTCAAAAGTTACCTAAGTATACTAGCGGCACCAGTGGTAGCACCACAGGCAATAGTACTGGTAGGTAAAGGGACCCCTGACCCTTAGGTCCAGTCGTGGCCAACTCTGGGGTTGCGGCACTCATCTCGCTTTATTGGCTGAGGGAGCCGGCATACAGCTTCCGGGTCATGTGGCCAGCATGACTAAGCCGCTTCTGGCGAACCAGAGCAGCGCACGGAAACGCCGTTTACCTTCCCGCCGGAGTGGTACCTATTTATCTACTT